GACTCACAGAACAGGGCAGGGCCTGGACTGCTGGGGCAGGCCCTGGCACAGCACTTGCCACTTGCACCCCCTGTGTCGTGAGCCAGGCAGAAGGACACCAACCTCAAGGGCATTCGGATCCCCATGGTGAACATATCCTTGACAAATGTGTCAATATTTCTGCAGAGGGGGCACTGAAAGGATAAAATACCAGAGCTCAGAGCCTGTCCCTGCAGGAGAAACACAAGCAGCCAGAGTGAGACCCTGATGCTGCTGAGCCCCTGCTGTGCCCCCTGGGGTGAGGGAACCACTCCTACTTGGATGCAGTCCCTGTGGAACCAGGTGGTTTTGCAGGCTGGGCACACCATGGTATTGAAGGTCTTTCTGTGCTCCACAGGCTCCATGCAGATGAGACATTCGGTGCCCGGCTCTGGAGTCGCCTCCACTGCCTGTTCTGGGCTGTGTGTGAGGCAGAAGGCCCTGGGGGAAAAAAGGGGTGGGTGAGGTAAGAAGTGGTGGTGGCAAGGAAGGGACAGGAGGTACCTGTACGGTGTAATGAACTGGGTGACACAGCGTCCCTGCTTGGCACAGGGCAGGTGGAAGTTCAGGTCTCAGTCTGTTTCGCAGCAGGAGATCGTGGCCCTGCTCTGGCCACAGATGCAGCAGCTCTGGAAAGAGCAGAGCAGCCCCATCAGCAGCAGCCTCAGGGCCTCCTCATTCTCCCAGAGCTGGTTGGAAAGGCTGGGCTTTCTTGCTTGGGGTCTGGGCTAAGCTCCAGCAAACCTCGCCTGGCACAAATCTCCCTGCTCTTGTCAGGCTCTCACCTTCTGTGCCGCCCGCTTGACTGCATGTAGGATATCCCTTGGGAGAAAGCCCTGGAGTCCTACTCTTTCATTCTCTTGCTGATCAAGAAGGCTGGCAAAATACTGCAGGAAAATGACACTCACTGATGAGGAGACAGTGGCAGGGACTGCCTGGCAAAAAGTGGAGGGAGCCCACATAGCAACTCACCAGGCAGAACACGTGGGCACAGATCCCATGTTTCTGGAGTTTTTCCCCGCAGATGTCCGGGTCAGCCTCTGATCGCTGACATAGCAGGCATGCTGGAGGGGAGAGAGACAATGGCCCCGGGCATGGCACCTGTACTGCCCGCCCCGACAGCCCCTCTGCCAGGCTGCGGGAGGGGCACTTTGCTCTCACCTTGCTCCCTCCCTTCAAGGGGCTTCTCCTTCCTGTCTGACATGGTGACTGTCAGTAGTGGGTCCCTGTCGTTGGAACACCAAGGTCTCTTCCAGGTGCTCCTTCACTGGTTCTGAGGCAGAAGTGAGACTAGTTTGCAACACAGGGCCAGAGCCCTGAGGCGTAGAGCCCCCTGACTCGCTGGTCAGCCCTGTGTGAGCCCGGTCTCTCTCTGCAGTCTCCTGTCGTCTGGTTGAGGAACACCAAGGTCTCTTCCAGGTGCTCCTCCACTCTCTGTTCAAAAGAATCGAGAGGCGCTTGCAAGAGGGGGGCTGTCCCTCCTCTTCCTTCTCCTCTCGTGATCAGGTAACTGACACTGGGCCTGAGCCCAGAGTCCCCTTTTGTGCCCTTGGCCTCACGGGTCACAGTGGCCACTGTGACATCAGCATCGTGCACCTGAAATACAGGCAGGGATGGCCCAGCCCCCCATCACCCACTGTGAGGCAGCCCCTTGGTAACCGAGGTTCCGAGGCGGGTCCCGAGCCCTCGGTAACCACAGAGCCGGGGCGGCTGCTGCTGCAGCAAGAGCAGGGTCAAATGCCAGGCCCTGGGGCAGCCACCGAGGGCTCTTGGGCAGCCGCTGTTGCACGAAAAGTGCTGTTCGGGCAGTGCCACTTCAGGGCTCTGGCCCTGGCCAAGGCAAATCTCTGCTCCTGCCCCAGCCAGAGGGAACACTGCCAGCACATCAGGGACGCTGATTCCCCAGCAGAGGTGCCTGAGGACTGCAGGAAAGCCAACATCACTCCAGTCTTCAAAAAGGGCAGCAAGATGGACCCAGGAAATGATAGGCCCATCAGGGTCACCTCCATCCCCAGAAAGGGGACAAACAGCTCATGCTGCATGTCATCTCGAAGCCTGTGGAATAAAAGGAAGGGAAAATCATGCTTGAGCAGTCTCCTAGCCTTCTCTGCTGGAGTGACTGGCTGGGTACATGACGGGAGAGCAGTGCCTGTTGTCTGCCATGACTTCAGCAAGGCTTTTAACCCTACCTCCCAGAACACCCTCACAGGCAGCTCAGGAAGTGTGGCTTAGACGAGTGGACACTGAGGGGGTTGAGATCTGGCTGAATGGCGGAGCTCAGAGGGTTGTGAGCGTGGCGCTCAGTTCTGGGGCCAGCCTCGTTTGACCAGTTGCCCAGTGACCTGGCAGAAGGGACGGAGAGCACCCTCAGCACGTTTGCTGATGATATGGGACTGGGAGGAGTGGCTGAGGCACCACAAGGCTCTGTTGCCCTCCAGCGAGTTCTGGGCAGCCTCAAGCGTTGGGCACAGAGGCACCTAGTAAATAGCAAAAAAATCTGGTAGCTGGGTCTTTGTCTCGCTGCCTGAATTCCAGCTGGCAGGCAGATTTTAAACCAGCACAGGGCATAGCTGCCCCTTGTGTAAGTACCACACTGCAGTGCAGATTAGAGCCGTAGAAGGGTAGAAGGTTTGGGGTTGGGAGAGCCCTTTAAAGGCCACCCTGTGCAAATCCCGCAGCCTCAGGGCTTCCACAGGCAGCCCCAGGGCTCTGGGCAGGGCACAGTCCACAGATGTGCCTGGGGGACAAGGCTCCTGTGCTGGAGCCTCTGTGGAGCTGCTGGGAGCCGGATGTTTTTCCCTGAGCTGGTTGGAAGGGATGGGGTTTCTTTCCTGGGCTCTGGGCAGGGCGCAGCTCTGATGTCCTGTCCCACTCGGCAGGTTTGGGGAAAGGTCGATGGATAACCTCTGGGTGGCGCACGGTGCAGTTTTTGCCTCCGGGGCAGCGAAGCCCAACCCGCGGCACTCGCCTCTCGCCGTCCTCTCCTGCGCTCCGTTGCGCGGCACCCACCCCGCTCGGGCCCACGATCATTTCGGTGCCCAAGTTCCGCGCCCGCGCTCCCCTCGGTGCCAGAATGTTCCCGACGCTTTTCCCGGGCTCTCCCTCGTGCCCGAGCGCCGCCACTCCAGCGCCGACCGCGGCCGTTCCCAGAGCGCCGGCCGTGTGCAGGGAGGGCGGGAAGGCTCGGGGCGACTGAGTGCGGGGGCTGCCCCGGGCAGAGCTCCCCCTGCGATCCCAGCGCACTCCCGGCGGGCAGTTTGGAGCCAGGCAGCCATTCCTGCGGGCTCTTAGAGCGGGAAGCGGTCGCCGCTGGGTCACAGCGCACAGATGGGCCTGGGGGACGAGGCTGCCCCGGCAACACCGCCGTGCGCGGGCAGCGGGGGCCGCCCTGAGGGGAACCCCGCCATG